CACTGTGTGTATATATATATATATATATATATATATATATACACACACAAAGTAACACTCGGGAGAATGGACTAGTTGGTTTTAACAGGTCTTAAAGTAACATGAGAAACATTTTCGCCAACAAATTCAGTTCAGTGGGTGGGTCAATGGGTCGTTCAGTGGGTCGTTTAGTGGGTTGTTCAGTAGGTGATAAAAGTGGGCCTGTCATTTTGTCATTCAGTGGGCAAAAGGGGGTGGGGTACCATACAGCTACAAGGACATAAATGTAGCCAACTAGTGATATGCTATTGCCACTCTGTTTCTGCAGGACACTGAGAGAGAGAAAGACGACAACAGAAGACAACGGTTCAATTTTAATGTAAGTACTGTTTGTTGGGCTTTTAAGGGGTTGAACATGTAAAACTTGCATGTGCCATTTTCCTCATTTTTAAACTTTAAAACTTGTTTTAAAACTTTTTTTCTTTAAGTTTTTTTTTGGGGGGTGGGATGGAAGCAAAGTTTGTGTGTGGATGTATTGTTGTTGTTCTTTGTTTGTTTTCTCATACTCTCTCACTCTCTGCCTCTCACTCTTTGTATTTACAGTGCAAACAAGATGGAGAGAAACGTTGTCTACTGCCTGCTTTGTAAAAAGCCCCAACAGTCCATTCGCACACACCTGAGCAGAGTGTGCCTGAAAGACTGCACACCACAGGAATGTGAGGAAGAAGCTTCCAGAGCCATTGCTTCACAGAAGCTCTTTTCTAATGAAGGTAGAGTCTGGAACTTCTCAGAGCTCCAGGAGTACTGCAAGGATGAAGAATCTTGCATTAAACTCTGCACTCGCCTTCAAACACGTGGATTTATCATCACGAACAGTCCCCAAGCGTTTTCGACAGTTGTGCCAACAGCGAGGTATGATGACCTTATTGCCACTTCCACATATTGGATGACACATACAAACTTTCAATAATGTCTTACCTCTGTCACATTTGCAATAGGTCTGATAAGAAGGAAATTCTTGCTGTGGCCAAGAAGGATATTGAATATTTCCACGCAAGACTTTCAGGCGGTGATTGCATCCCCACATATGCAATGACTACCTTCAGACAGTACTGCGAGGCCATCCTGATTTTACAACATGGACTGACAGCAAATGCTGTTCAAGAACTTTGTGTAAGTGCGCCACCAACAACCAAAGTGCACGATAAGTGAAATGACAGCTGATGTAAGTCTGTATTTCTTTAAGCTCCAACACCTTTTTTTTACATACACAGGTAGAGGACTGGATGGCGCGGAAAGCAGTAGCTGATGGTGTTGAGCTGAGTGGTAACTTGAAGATAACCAGCCAGGAAGAACAAGTAAGTCATTCATTCTCAGCAGCGACTCTCTTCTTGCTCTATAGGTAACTTGTGAATTGATTTTATGAGATATTTAACATTGATTCCTTTTTTTCTCTGGAGTTGTTGGACTGCTATTTTAGGAACATCCGTCCAGTGGCCTTGGAAAATCAAATTGCTGGAAGCGATGACAGGGGCAAGTTCTTCCTGGGAGAATGTGGGGTCCCACTGTCCAACCCATCATTAGATGTAAAACGCCTGAGAGCGAGGTGAGTGCTTGACATAACTGGATCAATAGCATATTAAGAAAGATTTGTTTCTTTGATCTGACAGAGAAACCCTAACCCTGTACTCATAACAGTCAGCCACATATGTTGCTGTATGTCAGAGGTGTTCGCCCCTTGTATTTTGGCTTTTTCATCTCTCTTGGCTCTCTAATTAATTTGCATCCATTAAAAACCACAGATACCTGAGCACTGAACCTGGGGATGCTATGGCTGAGTCAGCATCAAGCTCAGTAGGAGGACTACCAACACCAGGACCGGCCAGGTACACTTTTTTAAAAAAAAAAATCACACACTACCACAAGTCAACCTGTGTTACACGTTTCCACATTTAAAAACTTTTGATGGATTTGATGCATCCCCTCCTCTACACCTTTCTTGTAGCACATCATCTACGCATCTGCCACTCCAAGAATGGGATGCCTTCCTCCAGGCCTTCCCGGTCACCCTGAATGGAGAGCCACCATCCAAACGGCAGTGTGTACAGGCTGGCTTTCCACAGCACAGACACCACTACAAGAAATGGAGGGATATTCAGCTGAAGAAAAGAGTTGGGTACATTCTCGGTAAGGCCTGGGCATGTCATGTTAATGGAGCCTCTTCTGTTGCATTGCTTTTTTTTGTTTTGTATGTATTTCAGAATGAAAATACTTTAATAATCTCTAAGAAAATTATGTGGGATACACTTGTGTAGAGACAATAGCAGTAACAGTCTGAACTAATTAAATAATACAATACATGTAAGTACAACCCACTCAATGTTGTACACCCAAATATACACAGGTAGCTCAATTATAAATATAAGGAATATATTAAGGTACAAATATGTGATTGACTAAAATGCATATGGTTGATTTTTCATTTTTAAGCCGCAATAATCACTTGCATTATTTCTTGTACGTCGCTTTGTGACCACTTCATTTAGGTCAGTCAGTTGGCAGAAGAGGAAACCCACCTCAGCCGGCACGTGTGCAGATGGCTTTGGACAAGGAGAAATGGCACACCAACAAGCCCACTGTCAATGCCATCTTGCAGGCCTGGGTGGTTCCGCAGCCCAGTATACAAGACAACCAGTCCCTCATGTCTTCGATTGCAGAGCAGAAGTGGAAGGGCCTGGCTTTGCAAGACTTCGGGGAACGGAAGGGCAAAGGTAAAATGCACACAACATTTAGACAAATTGCAAGTGAACGTTTCTAAGAGCCCTGTCATGACCGATGGTCTCTTTCAACTTACAGGTGTGATCGCACTTATGCCTTTCCACAAAGGGGATATAGTGTGTGATTACCACGGGACGTACATCACTGAAGCAGAAGGGAAACGGAGGCCCCAGTCGGGGTATCTGTTCTTCTTCAGGGACGAGTGTGACCGAGGGATGTGCATCGATGCCACTGCATTCCCCTGTGCCTGTCATCCCGACATTGACACCTATGGGAGGCGAATGAACCATTCCCGAAAAAATCCAAACATCAAGCCTCAGAAGTTTACAATGAACTTCCCTGCAGGACCTCAGGAGACAATACTTTTCATTGCCCTGAAGGACATCGCAGTTGGTGAGGAGGTGTTATGGGATTACGGAGTGACTCGGAAATCTTATGGTGGTGAAGGGGAAGACTTGGAGTGGCTGGACAGCTGACTTTCATTTTATCTGTTCTTTTCCTCTTCTCTTTGCATGGGCTTTTTTATGCAGTGATTTTATTCTTAAAAAACACAGCTGTTTTTACATTGTCTTGCCTGTAATTTAAATGTGGTTTGAGGGTTTTTTGTTTTGTTTTAATTTACGTATTGAAATAAAGTGTCATGTTTCCAAATTTCACTCTGCTTCATATTGTATTATTTACGTTCACTGTTTCGTGTTTTACTGTGAAAATCTTGTGTTTCCATGTTCAGGTGTCTGGTTTTGCTTCCACTGTGGCTCCATTTTAATTTCTCATTTGTGTTCCCCGCATCTTGACGCCTCCTGAAGAGCATGAGGATTAACATAGCCAAGGCAATTATGAAACACATCACGTTTACAGATGAATAATAACAATAATAATAATAAATGTGAGATACTAGCTCTACATGAGTGTCTCCTGCAGTTAATATGTAATACACAGATGAAAGATGAGGTGAGATATCTAGGCATTATCTATTGTCATTTGCAAAGATTAACTACTAACAGAAAATAAGAATATCTCAATAATAGACTTAGAATTTTCTATTCTAAGCCAATTTTAAACAGGTGCCTGCAGATTTTTTGGGAGAATTTGGACAGTCTGTCTGACATCTGCATTTGCTCATATTTGTTTAACAGCCCGGGTCTGCGCTCAGGTGTCGCACTTTGGATAAATAAGAGCCGCTTAGCAGTAAATGCAATGCGCAGAGAAGTCTGACGTGAAAGTCATTTCTCAGTAGTCAAGTACGCGAGTCCGTACAGCACAATCGTTTGAAAGTGTACTTGATGACATTTCTGTTACAGAGTTTTTACTGCCACCCCCTCTTAATTTAAATATGAACAGAAATTACACAGATAATTTAAAAATGTATTTTAAGCACGTTGGGACCATTAGCTTACATGTTTTCAGTTTTATTTGTCATATGCAAGTTAGCACAGGGTCAACATTGCAATGAAATGTGTTTGACGAGCAGCAGTCACTCAGCAGCATGATACAGTAGGAGAAAATATAAGAAAATAAAATAATAAGAAAAAATAAAAATAGTAAGGAGCAAAATATTAGAGAGACATGGTAAAAGGGAAAAGATGACTAAATATATATTTACTATAAATATAAATATATGTACACTAGTAATTAAATAATCATAAGTTAAGTGTGTGTGTGTGACAGAGAGAGAGAAATCACCAAGCACTGAAATTCAAATTTTGCACTGCAGACCTCACAGTGTCTGTCTGACTGTGTGTGTGTCTGTGTTTGTGACAGACAGAGAGAGAAAGAGAGAGAGAGAGTGACACTTGCTGTGTATTTAAAAAACAAACGAAAGACAATGACAGACGCAGAAGGCGACTGGACTGTTTGTGGCAACAGACAACTCGTTGCTCCTTCCGGACTCTTTGGTTGTGTTCACCAGGGACACATTAGCCCTCACGCCACGTCAAGGCAGAGTCCATGTGAGGGTAGTTTTTTTTTTTGTTTTTTTTTTTGTTTTTTTGGGTGGGTAGGATATTGGAACATTTAATTTTTTTTCCCATTTCTCTCACAAATGTTTACAAAAATAACATATATTATTTTCATCTCAACAATGATTTTTTTAACTGAACATGATGTCAAAAACAGAATTATCAGATATATTTACAAAGTTAACATTTATTGTTTGATTACAAGAATTAAGTTTTCAAAGCAAACAAGGTAAAATGAACACTTTTGGAAACATATTTACAACCGTAACATGGCAGCACACTTGTGTAACATGGGAAAAAATCAAAACTTAGTTAAAAAAAAAAAGACAAGAAGTTTTTCTTCACATCATAACTTGAAAAAGCACTGGATTGGTGAATTCTGTAACACCGATTCTTTATTTGTCCAACAAATGCAGTCTTTTCTTGACAAATGCCTGGTAAGACCGGGCAGACAAGCCTGCAGCCTTGCAATCCCGCACATACTGTGCATATGCATTCTTTACCCTGACTGAAGGGTCCGTGTTCACAAAGCCTATCTCTATGTCTGACCAACGCCTGCTGACATTGGCAGGGATGAACACTGCGCTTGTGCTCACAACCTGAGGCTCTTCATCCTCCAGCAGGACGGGAAGTTCCACGTGATCAAACTCCAGTTGCAGTGTTGGAGGCTTCTTCTTTGGATGCACTGGATGGATCACCATACGATATGGGATGTCGTAGTACAGTTTGTACAGGGTGAATCCAAACGTACGCTGACATGGAGATGTAGACAGAATCTTACATTTCTGAAGGTCCGCTTGACTGACCTTTAGCTCGAGTAGCAGATCCTTGATTTTCTCAAAAGATACGAAATCCCGGTTCATCAGGAGGCCAACTGAACTCACCAGAACGAGAATTTTCTTCTGAGTTTCACGATCGATCTGTTTTGGAAGCCTTTTCAGTACATCGACCAACCATGGCATGCCATGTTCCTTGTATCTGTCAAGATTACGGGCATAGCAAAGCGAACGTCGCTCCATCTCCATTGAAATATCTCCAACCATGGCTGATGACTGTGCCTCCACCGAAGGCTGTTGGTCATCGTTGTGGACTTCAACAAAGTCAATGAAGTTCCAAGTTGCCTTACGGGTTCCCCGGAGATCACGAAATTTCAAGTCGGGGAACCACCTGATCTTCATTTCAACGAAGCCAGCCTTCAGGCATTCTTGAACATCTTTGCCACAATCTTCAATGAGCACCCTGGCCCTGGAGAAGGTGAAAGGTGTTGGAAAAGAGTCCCTTATGGCGAGGTTCTCAACCAATGCGGAGAGGTTGACGTGTCCCTTCAAATTCTCAGGGCACTTGGCTCCCTGGAGCGCAGCGACGGGGATCTCTTCATTTCGCCGAAAAATGTCTTGCAGCAGAAGGAGGAGAAGTGAGGGACCAACTATCGCAGGCTCACACCCCATGTTACATGTGAGGGAAAACACCCTGTGAACTCGAAGAACCTGTAGGGGATCCTTGGTCCAGTGTAACAAAGGGGGAGGTGTGTCCTCAATTGCTGGCCCAGTTGCAGGGCCAAGCGCCATGAAGCCCCGGACATGTGTGGCACTGAATTCATGCCGAGAACTTGTGCCCAGGGCAGAGGAATACACAATGTCAATGTTAGACAAGGGGTGTCCATGGAATGCCTCTTCTAGTGCTATTTCTAGCTGAAATGCTCTCCACGTGGGCAGAAACCCACCTTTGCCCTCGTGCTGTTGGCCCAGCTGCCAGAGCTCCTCAACCATGTGGGTTAGACACTGCGAAAGGACAGACTGGAGGCTTAACTCTTCCTCCTTCCATTGGAAAGGTACGAGCATTGGGACGTTCTCCAATAACCTTTGGATCTTAGGAATCTGGAAGAAAGAGTGAGCAGGAATGGGTTCCTTCAGTACTCCTAAATCCTCTTCATCCAGCCCCTGGACCATTTCAATGCGCAAGGGGTAGTTGCATTTGGACTTGATGGCAAGGTCCCGCATGTGGACGTAGTAATCCTCCGCACGCGTGTGAATAGCTTTCTGGTAGTTGGGGTGGCTCAGCCCACAGTTCACTATCAATCCACTTACTGGGTGTCGGAAAGTTGATTGATAGTGGGTGTGTGGACTGGCCACGTAAAACTGCCAAAAGGTGACAAACGGCAGACTGGCAATTTTAGCCAAAGCTGGAGCAACATCCAGCTCATGTTGATCCAGCACTGTCTGAAAGTTTGCACACTCGTGCATGGACATGGCGGTGAAAAGTGTTGCTCTTGGCCCAACCAACAACTGTAAACCAGCTCTAGACCAAAAAAATTGGGTGTTGGTGTCATCTGGAATCAAATTGCACGCCACATGCAGAGAACACCGAACAATGTTCTGGAAATCCGTGATTTTGGATAAAATGAGTGGTTCACGTGACTTTTGGCCAAACTTGTAAACAAAAAAATGGAGATCCAATGTCGGATGTTCAAGCAACAAATCCTTGGACTGATCAATAGTACAAAGCACAAACTCTTGATCCTGAGGTAGGACATTCATGTACCCTTTGTTCTGCAGGACTGTCTTCTGTACAGAGGGTCGATCAAGATCTCCCACTGGGAGGGTTCTAAGACTCTCCACAAAGTTTACCATCATACCATTGATGAGTTCAATGGTTTCTGTGAGAAAATATCCCGGGGACTGACAGGCTTTATCCACCCTAACAAGGGACCTGGGAATTGCAGCAACGTGCAATTTATATCCTTCGTCCAGCTCTATAAGGTCGATGCCTCGAACCTTGCGTAGCACTTCCAGGCCTTGTGTGGAAAACTTGGTCAGATCCAAATGTTTCTTTATTAAATGCCAAGAATTGCGGAGTTGTTGGATCCGGTAGAGCGAAAGGTTGAACTTTGAAAACAAAAGCTTCAACCTTTCAAGCCATTTGAGTTCGATAACGATCCCATCGAAATCGAACTCAGCATCTAGCTGCTCACCAGCATTGTCAATAGTACTGGCCTGCAGAGGAATGAGGATCTCTGGGTCAGTAAGGAAATCTGAAACACTGGAGGAACTCAAAAATGCTGTGGCCAAACCATCCATGTTCTCCCTAGCAACATCCTCCATGGCTGGTGGAATCTGGTAAGTAAAAAGAAAAAAATTGGGTAAGTACACACAATAAAATCAGGTAACACACACACACAGCAGGTAAGTACACTGTGTTGTGGTTTGCAGTGTTTTGTGTTGTTTTCACTTTAAATTTGTAAAAGGAAAAAGCTGAAAATTTAAATAGTTAAAAGTTTAAATGTGAATAGTTGATTTTTTTTTTATATGATTTACTTATTACATTTTATGTAGAGTGAATAAATAAAAGTATATTTACGGTGGCCCCTAGAGACAAAGCACATACAAACTTCAAATCACGTA